TATATATTTTCCACCTCTATAACTAGCTAGTTATAACAGATTTGTATTTTTATTGACAAATTTTTTTTTTTTAACTAGGGATCGAACTTGGGATCTTGCACTTGCAAGGCAGGCAGTGGAACCTCAGAGCTAAATACCCAGCCCCAGATTGTATTTTTCAATGATGGCTGCAATACTGTCTCCCAAAGCATAATCTCTGCAACTTTGTCACTCTCTAATCAAAAAGTCAGTCGTGTGACTCATTTGTAATCACTGTGATGAAGCAGAAGTGATGCCACATGCTTTCCAAGGCTAGTACATAAAGTGTGATATCACTTCCACCTAGTCAGCTAATAGACCTGCCTGAGGAAATCTAAGAAATCCAGGAACCACATGCAGTGGAGGGGCCCAGGCCACGCGGAGAATCCATGTGCACATAATCTGATGAATAGCCACAGACTACATCGTAACTAAACAGTGAGGACTGCAGAGACACGTGAGTGGACATGTCTTCAAATGATTGCTGGTCGCCAGCTCTCAAATCACCTCTAAGCTTTAAGAGCAGAGACAAGCCATCCCCAGTGTATTCTGTCTGAATTTTGAGCCAGGATTCTAGTAAACACAGCAATTTGTTATGCAGCAGGTGTAACTGGAAAACCTGTGTAATACTTGTCAACCTAACCAGTTTTTCTTCAAGTTTTTCACTTATTAAATTGTCTTACAATAATAGCTAAATTATTGGACGTTGTGAAGACTATAAAGAAAATTTTTGTTTATTACATTTAAATCTTTAATACACTTGAAACTTATTTTGGTTTAATGTGAAAGTTATGTGAATTATTTTTCAACCAATTCTAAATTACTGTTCCTAAAAAAATATGTGAAGAAAAACTTCCTGTATCACTATATAAATACATGAAAGAGGAACATTTGCATTTTAGAGGATAGATATTTGATGCGTCATCATGTGGAGAGAAAAGTTCTCCTAGGTCTTACTCTGTTCATTTTCCCAAGCTGAAAAGTGGAACTGGAAGGAATATCCCAAGATAGAGTAAAGAAAAGAGAACATTCTCCAGGATTACAACAATTCTATCTACATTGTAAGAAATGCTCTAAAACAAATTCTCCCCCATTCATAAAAAATTACTTTAGACACAACACATGCTTACAGTCAGAAGTGTCAAAATATGACTTTTGTATTTCAATCTAACCTAGTCTAATTTTAATTTTAGAGTTCTATTCTTAAAATTTAAAAAAAAAAAGAATTGGGGATATAGCTCAGTGGCCAAGCATTTGTGAAGCCTTGGGTCTGATCTTCAGGAGGAAGAGAGGGCAGGGAAAACAGAAGAGAAATAGTAACAAAAACGTGGGTTCAGCTGGAGACTAGCTTAAATTGAATCCCATGGAAAACTCTAGAGCATAAATTGCACCACAGACTTAATCCCACCTTGATATACAGGGTCAGCTATTTGTTGTCTGAGGTCCACAGAGCAAAGCAGCTCCTACTTGGCTCTTTCTCTCTACAATTTGAATTAATACGACCAAGAATTTTGTCTCATTGAGAAGCTGGCATTAGTTCTCTATTTCTAGAACCCATGGGCAAAAGGACTATGCCGGGAAGTTTTAAGGTTAACCCAAAGAGAATCACAACCCACCAAAAAAGTGATTGTACATGAGGATAGAGTATGGTCACAGAATTCTCAGTATAAATTTAGGATTATTTTGGCTTGAGAATTTGCTTCTGGCAGGGGAGGTACTGGGGCTGGAACTAGGGACCTTGAGCTTGTGAGGCAGATGGCACAATCACTGAGCCAAATCCCCAGCCCTAGAATTTTAATATGGGAGATGATAAATAACCAAGTTGCAGCCTATCCATAACAGCAGAATCAGAAGGAATCCATAACTCCCTGCCAGATGGGAGCAAGATGACTAGTTCAAAGACTGTTGTTTGAACTAGACTCAGCTCGCCTACCCTTGTTTCTCCTATGACTACTTGTCTTTTCATTTCCACATGGCTTTTTCATTTCCTACCATTTGTTAAGAGAGGAGAGCAAAATACAGGCTTCAGGGAGGAGGTAGAAAGGGTAGAAAGAAGGATCCTAAGGCCGCATAGATGTAGAATTAGAGTCCTATAGGGAGGTTGCAATAGTTACTATGTTCGCAACAGGTGAGCTCTGTCTTTATGTCAACACCCAGGAAGTTGATGTCCTGACAGTTGGTCATACATGACAGTTTTGAATAATAATACATACTTCTCCCTGATGAGGTGAAAGAGAAGAAACACAGTTGTAATGACTCTCATTTCCTCCTACCATATTCCTAAAAATAACCTATCTTCAAATCCTCTCTAGCCCTTTTCTCAGCCTAAATAAGGTGTAAAATAAGGTGAGTCTGCTAATTGCTGACCCAGACAGTGGATTTTATTCTCCAACTTACCAAGGATATCAGCCCCTCCTTGACCAATATCATCTTAAGGAAAAAATTCATCTTTTTCATGCCTTCTTCATGACTACCTGTGTTCACCCACCTGACTTACCTCTCATTCTGAGGGCAAAAAACACACAAATGATCAAAAAACAGACTGCTTCTAAGGGAAGGAGGTAGTTATTTCCCCATTATTCTACATGTCATGTTACCTTTGTTTGTGAGTATATAAATGTTCTCTGTAGCACAGGATTGCTTATACTTCAGGATGCAGAAATCCATGGTTTCATAGCAAATCCCAAGATGATAATGTTTACATTTATAGCACATTCTTGCAGTATCTGCCATATATACAAAGAGGTGCTCACAGCATGCAGTGCAGAGAATGATCTTTCAGCCTAGGGGTTTTTCTGAGGATTATTTTTGCCTTGCGGCTCCTAACTTTTCTGGGTAAGGACTCCTTTAATACTCTTCTGAGAGAAAACCTGTACAGCCATAAACTGAATGTTGTATATCATTTCAGGAAGTCAAGATTACTATAAAATTTATCCATGGGCCTCAAGTAATAAAACCCTTATATAGCCTGATGAATTTGTCCAGTAATGGGAAAAAGGAAGCAAAGAAGGAGATTTTAGCCTAGACTAAATATGTCTGGGAGAAGACTAATTTCAAGGAGTCTACAATAAGAATGGATTATAGCCCTCTCTGAAGAGGGAGGGAGGTTTACTCCTAAGCATGTTACAAATCACCTAATTAACAAAGACTTTAAATTAGCATGCTAATACCTTTTAAAGAGCCTTGTGCACCTGTAAAGAGAAGGAAAAACTCATTTGTCACAACTTCCAGACTTCTACACAGCTCTAAAAGCCAATTTTGGAAACTTTTTTTCCAGGATCTTCCCATCTATTAACCAACCACTAGCTGCCTTGAGATCCCTGAGACTTACCCCAATTCCAGCTGAACAGAAAGACTGTGCTCAGCAAAAATAGAAGCATCCTGGAATCTTGTCATGTGCAGCTTCCTGTGGCAGGTGCCTGTTGTTCTTCTGTGATTTGCCTTTGGGCTACTCATCTAAATCATATCATCATAAAATTCTAGGGACAGATAGTATCTCCATGTTCCCAAACCAAGCCTCCATATCTGATTCCCTTGGAACAGCCCCCAAATAGTGCCCATTTTGGTTTTGCATAAATCCTCAGATGAAAGTAAAGTTGTGATATTTATGATTTACTAAACCTTCTCCTACTTCAATGTTGCAGGTCTTAATAAATCTGGGAGGTATTCTTTATACTTTCCTGTGCCTCATCCTGAAAGAGGAATCTCATCTGTCTTACCTATTAACTTCTCATCTGGGTTCATTTTTCTTCTTTTCCATTTCCATTACCATAATCTAATGCTGCATAATCTCTTGTCTGGACCAAGTGGTAACCTTCTTTTGTTTCTTAATCTTTATTTCTATTTTTACTCCTTTACAATTATTCCTCCAGGAAAAGCCAGAAAGGATTCTAAGTCATAGATGCCACATCACTGCTCAAACCCTCCCATTTTTAAAAAGAAAACTCAAATCTGCTACAGTTTCCAAATTCTTCCCCAGTCTGGACAGTAGTCACTTCCCATTGCCCTCTCCTACCACATCGCTCTTGCTCACTCAGGTCCCTGTTCAGATGTCATGATCTCAGGCTGAGCAGCATTTCCTTGTCAGTCTCTGGAAAATAAATGGCAACTTCTGCTTTCCACCCTGTTCCCAGCTTAATATTTTCATAGGATTTATTGCTACCTGGCTTCCCAGATTTATTTGTTCACTTTTTGATTCCTCCACATTAGGACAAAACAAGTGTTTTATTTATCTACATGGTATATCCAGCAGCTAGTGGCTGGAGGTGTAGGAAACACCCAATAGATATTTGCAAGATGAACTAATGATAGTCTTTTCACACCTACTCTTGCATCTCCTCAGAATGACCAAGTTGATCAGATTAGGTTTGGTTTTGTTTTAAGTATAAAATGGATGTGAAAATAAGATTCTACCTGCAGGCCAGGATCCCAAGACAGTAAGAGGCAAGCATTTTTACAATTCAAAATAAAATGTGCTACTTATGAAGATTTACAAAGAAAATAGGTGAAAACCAGTTTCATTATCCTGGTCTATTTGCCCATTTGGGTGGTGGTGTAAATAAACAGTATCAGAAAGAAAAAAAAAAATTTTTTGTACCATAAGCTGGAGAGTGTCTTGTATGCTTAAAATATAGAGCCACAAAAAAGTCACTGTTTGTTTACATTAAAAAATGAATAAAACTTCTACATCAGAGGGGAAATTAGCCACTAACCCATAAGCAAAGTCCACATAACAAACAGATAAACAGTTTTTTATATTTGCAACTCATATCACAGACTAAGGGCTAATCTCATTACACAAAGGAATTTTAGAAATGCAGTTTTAAAAGAACAACAGTTCAAAAGGGAGGTAGGAAGTAAATAATCACATAATTCATAGAAAATGAAATAAAAATGCTTCATATGATGAATGTGATGAATCTTAATTAGAGTAATATCATTAAAACTAAACTCGGATACTACATTTACTTATGACATTAATAGTAATATGAATTTATGTGGTTTCATTTGGTTTTGGTTTTTGGTTGTTTGCATGCGCCACCATGACTGACTCATGAGTTTATGTTTTTATAGCAGTGTAACTGTACTGTGTTCACCAGATTGGAGTAAAACAAGCATTCTCAGTGGTAGCACACTACCAATGAGGATATACGTTCATTTAGCAGTAAGGAGGAAGATTAGGCAATATTTCTCAAAATTATAGATACAGCATTCTCAACCCAGCAACTCTATGGAATTATTCTCACACATTTGGCTTTGTTTCTAGAGTTTTTTCAGGAAATAAAAAGATATGTAAATGGATGAAAAATAAATCCCTATCAACAATTCCACAAGACTTCCAAGTTTTGACTTAATTTTGTATTACAACTATATCTCCTGTGTTTTATAGGGTTGACAAGAACATAAAGTTGGAATAGACAAAATTAGAATGATCAAATAATATATATTGTATAATGTTAAGCAGACTTTTATGCGAAGACCCATATATCTTACATAGAATAGAATAAAATTAGAAGAGCCTATAATCAGTCATTGCTTAATCCCACATTAAACACATAACAGTGTCAGTGTAATAATACTATTGAGGCAGGAAGCCAGGGCAAGGCACAACTCCTGGGGGGATACACTGTGACCTTTTAATATCAATATCCCAGGCACATGTGCATAATCCTCAGGACCCAGTATGTGGACTTCTTGCCATCTTTCCAGTGCCCACATGTATGGAATGAATGATGGGACACCATTGAAAGCTTGTTATCATGGCTTTCCTCACTGTTACCTGCCCTGGGTATACTGGGTAAAAGTATACTTTTATTTATTTTGGTTTTTATCTTTCCTCTCTTTTATTCAGCCCAAACTCACTCTGCAGAGCCAGTTTCTCCCTTACCCTTTATTTTTACTTTTTCCTACGTCTTTAAATTTTCCTTTTTTTTCTGAATGTATAATTCAATTATAAGACAAGAATATGAACAAAAACATTTTAAAATAATCTCTATTATTTGGCATCTCATCACATCGCTGCAAGAGACAACTTGGACCTTAAGAAAAATTTATGAAAAACTTAACTTGGACAGTTTGTATGGGAGTTAAAACATGTTTAAAAAAAGAACTTGGCAATAAAAGAACCAGCTTCTCTCCCGAAATAATTGTGTATAAAAACAACATAAAATCCTGAAACTGAGTCATTAAGAGGGACCAATTCCCTTTGCTGAGAGACAAGATGGGGGTTTTTTGCAGGAAGCCTGGAAAGCACAGAGTGGGGTGAAAGTGACAGAGGGGCCCTGCTGCAGGGGATGGGGTGACTTTACCTGAACCAGAATCTCTAACATCACAGGGGCTGGTAGTAAAGTGACAGATGCAATCATAATTTAAAAACAAGTTATATTCTCAAAAAGCAGCCACAACTGAACAGTAAAGCAATGGAAACCCTTTCTTTAGCTACACTCCTTTACCTGGATACTTGAGAGAATGTCTGTATCTCCTGCCAGGTCATATTCAGAGAGTTACAGGCAGGCAGAGTCCTACAAAAGTTTCTACTAATGACCACATAGCATTTAAAACCCTTTTTATTAGAAAAATAATAAAATATTGAACAAATCCTCAGTAGAACGGGAACTAGCAGAAAGAATCAACAACTGGGATCTCATCTTATTAAAAAGCTTCTGCACTGCAAAAGAAACCATCAACAGAACTAAGAGACAACCTACAATGTGGGAAAAAAATTTTACCAGCTGCTCCTCAGACAAAGGACTTTAATCTAGAATATGTAAAGAACTCAAAACAATCACCACCCCAATTATAAAGACCCGATTCAAAAATGGGCATTTGAAATGAACAGACATTTCTCAGACAAAGAAATAAAAGCAGCAAGTAAATATATGAAAAAATGTTCCACATCACTGGTCATTCGAGAGATGCAGATGAATACTGAGATTCCACCTCACCCCACAAAGAATGGCTGCTATCAAGAAATCAAACAATAACAAATGTTGGCAGGGTTGTGGGGAGAAAGGAACCCTTTTCCATTGTTGGTGGGAGTGCAGACTGGTGCAACCACTATGGAAATCAATATGGAGATACCTCAAAGAACTAAGTTTAGAGGTTCCATTTGACCCAGCCATCCCTCTGCTGGGTATCTTTCCAAAAGAATTAAAAGAATCATACCACAGTGATATGTGTGCAGCAATGTTTATAGCAGCACAGTTTGTAATAGCTAAAACCTGGAAACAGCCCATTTGCCCATCAGTTGGAAACTGAATAAAGAAGATGTGGTTTTTCTATAAAATGGAATATTACTCAGCCATAAAGAATGAGAAATTGGAGTCATTCATAGGAAAATTGATATATGTTGAAGATATACTCCTAAGTGAAATAAATAAGTCACACATGTGTAAATGCCAAATAGTTTCTCTGGTGTGAAAAACTATAATAGTACATAAGATCCTCATGAGATAATTGACAATGTGAAATCGGAAAAAAAAAGGGCTAAAGGTGTAAGGAAAGTGGAAAGGGTAGAGGAAAGGTAATAAGGGAAAAGAAAAAAATGTGACAAAATGAAAAAATGGAAATAAAGTGTAAACAGGAAGGGGAGGAGGGGATGAAGGGAGGGTAGGGACAAGGGGAAAAAATGAGAACCAAGACCTGTCATGTAAAGGCACAAGATCCCAATAATGAATGTAACTGTACTGTATACCAAAAATGTACCAATAAACTCA